GAGAGAGAGAGAGAGAGAGAGAGAGAGAGAGAGCGCGCTTAGTAGATGGGGCATTGCTATGTCAAATTGTAGCCACTAGGGGACGCCAACTCCTTTTCACTCCTCAATGGTCAATCACCTCACTGTTCCACAGCCCTGAATCTTATTATTTTTTATTAAAAAAAGAGTATTCAGGGACTAGGGATATAGCTCAGTTGGTAGAGTATTTGCCTCGCATGCACAAGGCCCTGGGTTCAATCCCTATCACCACACAAAAAACAAAACAAAAAGGAGTCTTCCCTGATATACATCTACAATCTCATTGACTTGGGAAGCTGAGGCAAGAGAGTTATAAGTGGAAGGCTAGCCTGGGCAATTTAGCAATGCCCCTGTTTCAGAAACAAACAACAACAACAAAAACCCACTTCTATTTTAGGATTTCCTTGTTTTCTTGGGCTTCTCTTCTGGAAGTCTTTGTACCTCACTAGCATTAAGATGGGCCAGACATTTCTGCTTGTGAGGGCTGTAGGTTAGTTAAGCTTGGCTCCAGACTTTCCCCCCTGCCATTCTGTGGATTCATCATTCATTGTCTTGAAAGTAGTGATTTTCCCCAACCTTCATTTTGGGAATGAAGCTTTGGGGTCCTCTATCATTGAGATATATTCCCAACACTTTTTATTTTGAGATAAGTTCTCACTAAGTTGCCCAGGCTGGCTTTCAATTTGTGATCCTCTAGCCTTAGTCTCCAAGTACTGGGATAAAAGGCATGCGCCACCATATCTGGTCTCAGAGTGGTGATTCTTAATTGAAGGACAGGATATAGTCCCATTTCAGCAGGGATATACATATGAATCTCATTATTTGAGTATATTCACTTTTTATTTATTTATTTTTCAGTGCTGGTAATCCAACCCGGGACCTTTGCACATGCTAAGCATATGCTCACTGAGCTATACCTCTAGCCCCCAAGAGCATATTCAATGTGGTAATATAATTTCCTATTTGGAAAACAAAAAAACTATTTTAGCACTATAAACAACAGAAAATCTTCTTAGCTGGTGAGTTATCAACAAATAACAATTGTTCTCATTCACGGGGCATGTTCCTTGTACAAGAAAGTATGGTAGGCACATATCAGAGATGATTTTATTTAATATTCACAGCATTCCACGGAAGTAGGTGCCTTTAGCATCCCCATTAATTGGAAGGATCAAGATGAGAAAACAAAACCAAACTATAATCCTATTAAGCTCTCATGGTCTTCTTTGAAATAATGACTGGAGTTCTTAAATAGCTGTGTGGAGGCTGTATCTGGCCTGAAGATGTCTTTTTTTTGACCTCTGCAATATGTAGACAAAAAAGCAGCCCTATATCTGAAAACTGAAATAGTTCACATAAAAATTCAGATTGCTGTATTCTCAACACTGAACTCATTCCCACATTAACAACAGTCAGTGGGAGGTGAGATATGGCTGTCCTTTAGATGGAGTGTCCTCTCCAGTTTACCCATCCTTTCCCCACATTTATATTCACTGCATGGACTCTGTTGGTCAGTAGTTTTCAACTCTGGCTACACATCAGAATCCCTGGAGAGCTTTATGAAAATAACTGATTTAATGGTCTGGAGTGAAACTTAGGTATTGACATTCTTTTCACCTTCTCCACCCACTAAACTAAGATTGCTCTATTATGTGACCAGAGAGGAGAATCATTGATATAAATCACTTGAATTTGCAACTTCTGGTTTAGAATTTAGACCTTGGGTCCTGGATGTTCTACTTACTCTGCCTCATTAGCCAGGAGTGCTTGGTCTAGAATGTTTATCTGACTTTGACCTTGTGCACAGAGGACTTTGAGAGACTCTATCCTTCTGGAACCTTGAGGGAGAGGCAATGATTGTGAGGATGGCCCCTGGCCATCTTTTAATCACTTTCCACTAGAGACATTAAACTAAAACAGTCTGCAGTGCTCTGAGACCCTTTCTCAACTTTCTCTTGGATCTATCCTGGCCCAAGTCTGGTCCCCAAGGGTTAAGAACCTGGGAGCTTAGGTCACTTGTTTATGTGTTCATCCTCTCTCCACTGGTAGCCAAGTCTTAAATGGAACAGTGTCAGCATTACTCATATGTAGATAAGGTGACTACCTTCCTATCTTTCCTCATGTTGAAATTCTACTATGGGACACACAGTCCATTAGCCTCAGGTCTCCTTACGCAATTCAGATTTTATCAATCTTTCACACACACATCCATGTGACTGGTTTTTCGTAATCTGTTTTCCTGGATCTATGGGTGAACATCCAGCTGGGTGAAGATTTATCAAGCCCCAGATTAGAAGCACAGGTTGGAAGGGGGTTGCTATTGGTATTGTGGGCTCCTGAGAGGCCCACTAGTGGCAAGGACTGAGGCTACTCCAGGATAGGTATGGAGGAATAAAGCTGCCCCTTCCCAACCCCCCTTTCTCTACTTGCCTCCCACGATCTTGGTTGTCTGGGAGAAGGTCTGTATGTGGGTGGTGGAGCTGGAGAACTCCATGGACACGTGCTCCTGAAGCATCTGCTGGTGGTGAATGGTCGTCATGGTGACAATAGACTTGAGCACTCACCTGTGAGGACCAGGGGAAGAATGAGGCCACAAAGAACATGGGAGGGAGAAGGAGGGTGATTCAGAGATGTTTTCATGTGTGAGTGCATGTGTGTGGGTGGGCGTATGGGCAATGGGAATGCAGAGGAAAGGGTGAGGAGAGCGGGCCTTTGCTCTCTGGCCTCTCTTTTCTTCACTCCTTATCCCTTTCTCTGATTGATTACAAGTACCAATAGGCCTGTCCCCTCACCAGGTAACCCAAAACAATTCCAAGTTCTTAGAAGGGGAAGATATAGGGCTGAGAATAAGTAAGCCAACCAAGGAGGGTCCATAGGGTGTTGAGGATACCGTGGACATGGGCGCTTCACCAGGAGGTAATGATGCAGGACCTGAGAAGGAACTTCCTGACTAAGCCATGCTGGAACATTCCTTAGAAGGAACCTCTGGATCTTCTCTCTGGGTCCTAGGACCCCTGGCTTTGGTGGAATGCTAAGATAGATGACCACTCATTCCCACAGCTTTGCTTTCACTTATGACACAGTAAAGACAGAGGCTTAGTTTATATTCATTATAATTTTATAAAGTATATAAGTATATAGTTCAACCACATTAAAAAAGAAATTAAAACATCTCCTTCCCACTCCTGGGTGCCCCATCTCCCGTGCTCCCCTGAGAGGTTACTGTATGTAGCCTTTAGGCTCCTTCATGAGAACACAGATGTATGTTCTTTTTTTTTTTTTTTAATGCCTGGCAGTCTATTATACACACTGTTCTGCCCCCTTTCATTTTTTTACTTAATATTATCTTGGAGACCTTTGCATGCCAATTCATAAAAAATTTTTTCATTCTCAACAGATCCACAGTATCTGATATATGTATATACCTGCCTCCTTTAATCCGCATATCAATTTTAAACCCTTATTTGGTATATGAGGAAAATTATGTCTAAGAGAAATGACCTGTCCACTGTCCAAGCTTACTCAGAACAGGGTCCTAGCTGCCACTGCTTCTTTTTTTTGTTGTTGTTGGAAATTAAACCCAGGAATGCTTAACCACTGAGCCATATCTCAAGCCTTTTTTATTTTTTGAGACAGGGTCTTGCTAAACTGCCGAGGCTGGTTTCAAACTTGTGATCCTTCTGCCTCAGACTCCCAAGTCACTGGGATTATGTGTAAGTGCCACTGTGCCTGGCAATTCATAGCTTCTTGGCTTTCAGGCCAGTGGCCTTCTAGGGAATCAAAAGCCTTCTCCTGAGCTATGTGGTTTGAGACTACCCTCCTATCCCACCTCATTCAAACTTCTACCTTTGGGTTCTGAGACCACTTCCCTGTCCCCTTAGGGGCTCACAAGTTACCAGCCTGTGCCCCCTTCCAGGGGCATGAGGGAGGCCTTACCTTCTGAACTGACCAGTACCTTCCAATACTTGAATGCTGTATCCACGGCTTGGGGTTCAGCTGGTGCCCGAGCTGTAGGGTGTCCGTCTCCTTCTTCTTTGCCCCAACAGCGGGCACTGAGGATCATCAGTTCCTTAAATACCTGCCCCCCTGGGGGGATCCCTTACTTAGACTCTTACCTCAGTGGGATGGCACACAGCTTCAGGGGTGAGAAGTTGGGGAGGGAAGCAACATGGAGGGCTGGAGGAAATGCTGGGGACCAGGTGGGAGGGAGGCAGAGGTCTCTAAGTACGCTTTTTTTCCCCCTTGTGGTAGGAGTTTTGCTTCTCACTGCTGCTGTGTGGACTTCTCTGAGCCGAAGTTCTCATGTCAGTGTGTTTACATGTACATGCTCAGGTATATGTGCATGCATAGTCCAGCAGGGGTTGGGAGCAAAGCCACAGGTCTTTGTTTTTCTGAGATGCCCTGGGGAAGTTCTAGGGTATCTGCCACTTGCACCAATCCAAGGGGCTGAACACTGCCATGTGTGGTGCATGCACGGCCCAAGCAGAGAGGAGAGGATTTCTGTACAATTTCTGTAATCTGGGTAGAGGGGCACATCCTTTTGGAGGGAGATCTCTATTGGAGGGTAGCTGGAGAGCATGCCTCCTTCTTTGGGACCTCCATGAGAGCTACTTCAGCCACCCTGCTGTTCTTTTCCTTGTTTGTAGCATACCCTGCACATCTGGACCCACAGCCAACCCACTCAAGGTTCTAATATCTTGCAAGGCTGGCCAGAAGTCCCACCCTGCACCTCGTCCTGTCCTGGGGTGACCCCCATCTACCTTCAGTGGTGTCACAGCTACTTTTGCTCCATCCCATGGGGAAGGGGATAAGAATAGAGCAGGAGTGTCTGGGATGGCTTAGGATCAGATTCCCTAGGTCCCTTGGGAGGGGCTACTCTAGGTCCAGGCCTTACAAGGGAAATTGCTGGGCTGCAGCTGCTGTTGGGACTGGTGGGGCTACCATGGGATATATGGGCTGACAACAAGGAGGGGCCTAAGTGTGACCTGAGTGTCCCCTTTTCCCAGCCCTGACCTCTCTAGCCCATCTGTTGAACCTAGAGGCCTGCCAGACACTGGGCCTTCTCTGGAAGCATCCCACACCTGTCTTTGAGGCTCCCCATGGCCTAGGGCACCTAGTGGGATAGGGCTGAGAGTGTGTGAGAATCTTGCAGAAGGGACTTATTTTCAAGTTTGGATTTGAGTCTCCACAAGGGGCACCAGTGAGCATGCGCGCCCAGCTGTGTGTGCCTGTGCTGGGAAAGAGGGGCACACAGCCCCATGGAGTGCAGGGGACAGGTAAATCACAAAGACCTGGGAGGCTAGTTTTGCTCAAAATGCTCTGTTTATTGCTCTATTCAATGACCACGAGCGAATTATAAAAAGACACCAAATGTCTCTGTCTGCCGTGGAATAAATATTTAAAGTCATCAATAAAAACACGTGGCTCCAAGATAACACATGTTGCCAAAGAGTCATGCATGCCCAGCTGATGGGCTCTCACCACACGCATGGACACAGGAACACACGCAGAGCGACATACAGCGAGACTTTTGGGAAGGCTTTTCCACAGTGACAGAAAAATGTCTTACACAGATCTGGGGCCAAGTCCCCGTCCCACCCTTGGAGCTCCCCTCCCCAGCCCCCCGTCAGGGCCCAGATCTTTGGGTTCCCCACCCCCATCTGTCCCCTTCCAATGAATCCTGAGGGCATGTGACACCAAGAGGTCACCCTGGCTGTGACGCCCATCCCAACCCAGAGACCTTTCCTAGCTGGGATCTCTGCCAAACCCTCAGGAGCTCCCCAGGCCTGGCCTCCACGTTGTCAGCCCCATCCTCTATCTATTGGTACCAGTAACTGGGTGCAAAATGCAATTTGCCTGTTGGGAGAAGTGGGAATGGGGGCCTGAGGCAGGCACCTCTGCCTGGGCTGCTTAGGGGCTGGAGCTCATTACTCCTTTCCTGGGCTGAGGAGACACAGTGTCCGGTATAGACAGCAGAGATGGATGGACAGACAGAACACGCTGTAGCAGGAGGACACTTGGAGTGAGGCATGGAAACATTTTGGATCAAGTAGCAATGGAACCATCATTAAAAACTAAGGCCCCAGGTCTGCCTGGGGGTTCAGGCCCTGGGGCCCCAGGCCTGGCCTGGCATATTCCTCCCCCACCCTGCCACACTCCCCAATATGTACAGAAGGAAGAGCTATGCTGGGGGTAGGGGCCAGGCCAGGCTAATAGAGGAGGGAGGGAGCAGATCAAAGAGAAGGAAGAGGGACAGATAGGATCAGGGGAGCAGGCCAGACCCAAGGAAAGGCCCTGGATGACTGTAGTGAGGGCCCAGACTCTGGCTGGGCAGTGCCCAGTGGACCTTGGAAGAGAAGCGTGGTCATTCTGGGGATTGGCGGGACAGCTGCTTCTCATAGAGGCTCATGACGTGGTGCACAAACTGGTACTGCTCACACGTCTGGATCATGCCACCCCTGCCCAGCAGAGATGCAAAGTGGGATAGAGTCACTAAGGGATGAGTTACAGGAGGGGGCCCCCAAACCCACGGAGTACTCATCATTCGTGAAGCATGCCAGGGGCCTTGTGCAATTTGGAGGGACCAACCCTTGCCAGCCAATGTCCTTCATCTTTCTTGTCAGGGACACAGATGATGTGTCCCATGCTCTCAGCCCATCCTGTCTGCCAGCTCTATTTCTCTTCCCCTTTCTTCCAGAAGAGGAATCATCTGGATCTTGCCCTTCTATCTGCTGTCCTCCATATTTCTTATCTGCCCATTAGCCCATGCCTGGTGTGTCATCTTCCCTCACCCATGTGTACCCATCAGTGTCCCTGTGTGCCCCCACCACTGCCTGTTGGGCTGACCTGTCCTGACGGAGCTGGCATGTGGTCTTCAGGATGTCCACCACACCCTCCTGCCGCAGCTGCTGGCAGCAGATGCTGGTGGCAATGAAGCAGCCGGTCCTCCCGATCCCTGCACTGAGGGCCGAGGGGACAGGCAGGGTGAGGGGAAGAGTACCCAGGGATGGGGAGGGACCCTATCCCAGTGGGTAGCTAGGAGAACCCACCTGCAGTGGACGATGATGGGGGCACAGTGGGGCCCCTCCTGCTGGGCTGCCTCTTCCACCTCCCGTACCAGGTGCAGGAGTGGGGGGGCCCTGTCTGGGGTCTTCTGGTCCGGCCAGGATGTGAACCAGTAATGCTTCAGGCCTCGCTCTTCGGCCCCACTCTACCCAGGAGACAGAGGCCCACCCCAGATACATGTGAATGCTTTCAGCCTACAAACCATCCAGAGATGGAGATGGGGTGCAAGGAGGATAAACATAGGAAGGACACAGGAAGTGGGAGCCCTCAGTCCTCCCATCTACACCATACTGCCCAGGGACACCAGATGGCCAAAGTCAGCTTGGTACCGGGGGCTGGTCTTTAGTTCTGCCCCAACAATTCCAGAATTATCCGAGAGAGGCCAAGAGCTCCTTCTCTAAGTCCTTACTGTCTCCAGATTCCAAATATCCTAGTTGTCCCTTAGTCACATGGCCCAGAGGCCTGGGACTCTTCCTTTCTCCAGATTTTGCTCTGCTTGCCTCATCTCACCATCCTTATTAGGTGTTATTTCCTCTCCACTTTGACCTTTACCATCTCTCCACTGCACTGAGATCCGGTCTCCTCCCTAACCACACAGGGACCACAGAGATTGAAGTGATCTATCCATAACACAAATCTGGACTTGCCACCCTGTGCTTAAAATCCTTTGCCATGGACTGAATGTGTCCCCCCCTCCATCTCCCCACACCAAATTCACACATTGAAACCTAATTCCCAGTGTGAGTGCTCTTGGAAGGTGATTCAGTCCTGAGGGCAGAACCCTCGTGAATGGGATTCAAGTATTTATATAAAGGCTCCAGAGAGCTTCATCCTTTTGCCATGAACTAGGAAGTGGGCCCTCATCAGAACCTGACCATGCTGCTGCTTTGATCTCAGACTCCCCAGCCTCTAGAATTGTGAGAAATAAGTCTGTCATTTATAGGCCACTCTGTCTGTGGTGTTTGTTATAGCAGCCTGCACAGACTAAGACACCCTTCAATGGCTCTTATTGCTCTCTGAAAAAAACCCATTCCCCCTAGTTCTTAGCTTGGCAAATGAGACCTCTGGCATAGGCTCTACCCTTCCAGGCATATATGTCACCCTGTGTACTTGGATTGGATGCTTCTGAAAATGGTCTGTGGATAAAATATCTGTAGCACAGCACCTGGATGCGTGCACATGCCCACCAGTGCACACGCAAACACACACACACACACATATACACTCACACACAGAGCTGTTTCTCTGCTGAGAATGCTTTTCCTGCTAGTCTGTCCTCAGTCAACTCTTACTCATCCTTTGAGGGTCCATTCAGCATCCCTACTTCAGCATCTCCCTGAGCATGCCAGCTAGCAGAGAGTCCTTCTGCATTCTTATCTATCTCTAGCTTCCTTATCACCTTCTGTGTGCTTCTTGACCAGAGTTCAGGCTTTGGACAGCTGTATTCCCAGGAGCCAACCCAAAACCAAGCTCAGGCAGGTGCTTTTAATGGTTTATGGACAAAAATAAATACCATCAAACCTCAGATGCCCTGTTTTTTTTTCCTTTGACCAGCTCCATGGCATTGAGAAGATGAGGCAGCCCCCAAGCCTCTCATCTCAGTCTTTCTTTCTGGGAAATTTCTACTTGGAAAGCTGTTCCTCAGGTCCTTGGGTAACTTGGCTGTGACAACTACTATAACCTCTGATCTTTACTCCCTGGACCTTCATGCCCTCCAGAAAGATCTATAGGGGCTTCTAAGGTGGGTACTCCCCTCTGGGGGCTGAGGTGCCCCCTGTCATCCCTTTACAGTGAAAGAGGGACAGCTCAGAGGGACAAGTTTCAGGCCTTGAGCTCACTTTCTGTGGCTGGACCCTGTGGCTGTCACCACTAATGGACTTCCCAGGTTGCTTGCAGATTGGGTGTCACCTTCTTGGTGCCTGCCTCACCTCTTCTTCCCTTCAGAGTTGTTATTATTAGAGTCTACTTCTCCCAAACTTGAATCTTATCGTTTCTCAAAACCAGAACTTATTAATCTCCCTGATTCCAAAGGAACAGTTTCTTCTGTTATGCTGATCTTGGAGGAAGTACAGCTCCAGGGTGGGAGGATGCCTTCCCCCACTCTGGGCTGTTTTGTATTGCTCATATTTTGTGTAGCTTCCTTTTTCTTGACATTTTCTGTTAACCATGGAAGCGCCTGACCCCTGGTGGACATATTGGGTATTGCACACCAGAAGCTCAGCATCCCAGTTGAAGTGATGTTTCTAGTTTGGATCTCAAAGTCATAATGAGCCTTTCGTTATAAGGACAATGCTGGAGGTTGCTGAATTCTCTCACCCAGTCTTGGCCTAGGGAGCATTTAAAGCTGAGCTAAAAGTCATTATGAATGGCAGCGTAGAGAATGAGCCCAACAGCATTAAATGCAACCACAGTTTGGGAAATGCAACGGGGGGTTTGGTCTGGCCTTTCCATTCACCACTCCCTCACCCTAGCTCATCAGTGAATTCTGGGAGTGACAGAGACCTTTACATCAGCTACATTGTACTCTTGGGCCTTATTCTCTGTGGTGTCCTCAATTAAACCCCCATCCCCCATCCCACCAGCCCAGCCCAGCCCCAGTCTCACCCTGAGGGAGATGAGTCGTAGCCGGTAATCCTCTGTGTGAATGACTTTCTGCACAGTGATTTCCACGCCGTCGTGCACCACCTGCTCCTCTGGCCAATACTCAGTGCATTTCTGCAGGGGCCCAGATCAGGTTTGGATATATCCCACCCCCAACCCTGCTTCCCTCTTATTCTCTCGCTATGATTCTTCAGAGCTGAGGAATATACAAGTTTGCTGTTAACACTGGGTGTAAACCTCAGCTTCATCATCTAAAAGCTAATTGTCTTCTTTGAGCCTCAAGTTTTCCCATCTGAAAATGGAAATAATACCCATTTTGAAAGACTTCTATGGGGATTCAATTGAATGGGTTACTATTCCATATAGACATAGTTCTGGTAGCCTTGTACTTACGATCATGTGCACTGGAGTGGGAGAGACCAGGTCTAGGCGTTGCCTCTGAGTGTGTGGCACTGAGCAAATGATTTAACCTTACTGAGCCTCACATCTCCTCATCTGGCCAGTGGAGCGAACACTACCAGTCTCACAAGATTGTCATAAGGATCAATATGAAAACAAGATGCTTGGTGTAGGGCACAAAAAAAGCAGACACTGGCAAAGTGGGGTCCCTACCTCGTTCATCTCCTCGATGTTGGTGATCATGACAATGATGGGTGTGTGCTCCTGCCACACCATGCGCCAGAAGTCAGCGATCGTGCTGACAATGGGTCCCTGTGTGGCGATGTATACCTTCTCCTCCCCACCGTAGCCCTGTGGCCAGCCAAGTCCAAGGTCAGTGTCAGAGGCAGTGCTCTCAGGGTCCTGTCCCCATCCCAGGCTTTTCTGGGGTTTTCAGGAGCCAGACTGGAGGATGGGGTCCCATCAGCTCAGGCCTCTCTTTCAGTGGGAGGCCATTGGGATGGGGCTACATACCCGGATGTAGTTGGCGTTGATGTAGGAACTCAGAGGATCATCAGGGTCGGGCGAGGTGAGACACACTCTGCTATGAGGATCTGTGGGGGACAGGGGAGGCTATCCCATCTCTAGCTCACTTAACCCCCTCATGGGTGCTGCTAGGGCCCACCATTCCTGGTCTACTCCAAAGCACCACATTTCTTCTGCGATCCTACAGTTCTTTCTTCACCTGCACACTAGCAAAATGATGACCCATCCTCGGTCCATTCAGGCAGGTGATGATCCAGGATGAAGAGGAGGACAGAGAAAGAGGCCCTGGGTCTCACCTCAATGCCTGCCCTCTGCCCCTGAAGCTGCCCTGTACTCACTCGCACCTTGTATTCTGGAGTGAAGAGAGCTAGTTAAGGAAGGAATGGCCTGGGTACAGCACCTGGGCAGCAGGAAGCAGCTGGAGTATGAGAACACACTGTCACCGACTTCTCTGTGAGCTTATAAAGCACATGGCCTTTCTAAGCCTCAGTTTTCTTATCTGTAACATGGGGGTAAGTATACCTCCTTCCTAGAGCTATTGGGAAAATAAATGAAAAAACAGGTGGAAGTGCTGAATAAACTGTGAAATTCTTTGTAAATATAAGGGCTGTTAAGATTTGGGGGTAGAAAGCTGAGGAGAATACTGGGAGAAAAAGGTCAAGTTTCCCATGTCTGAAATGAGACTGGAGGGTCTTTGTAGAGTTGTGAGCACAAAGGGTCTCCTCCCACAATCTTTTTACTTGTCAAATTCCATGGTAACAGATTCCCTTAACATCTTGTTCTTCTTCCTGGAGTAGAATTTGTTTTGTTCCAGCCAGAGCCTCCCTGTATTGACTAGTCTTGAGAGGCTGGGATTGGGATGTTCTGTGGGGTGTGTAGGGAAGCTGGCTGGGGGCCTGGAGCATTGGGTCCCGGTTGTGCTTTGTCATCAGCCTCCTGTCTTGTCCCCTCTCTGAATCTCAGTTTCTCTACTGCAATAGGGAGGGCTGGAAAGGCACTGCCAGTGTGCACATGATGGGGCTCTCAAAGGCAGTGTGGGGGTGTCATTAAGAGACATGACTGAGCCAGAGAGCCTGGTCCAAATCCTGGCTCTATGACTTCCCAGCTTGTCAACATGGACCATTTACTTAACCTCTCCTGCCTTATCTACAACTGGGGACGTCCTCCTTCTACAGTGAACTCATTTATCTTGTAAAGGTTAAAGGATCTAACATTAATAAATGGAGCCTTTAGATCAGTAAGTAATTGGGCCACAGTAGACACCACGAACTAGCTGCTCTTGGGACCATTTTTACCTTAACTGAGTGGATAGAAAGAAGAAAACCTGGAGCAGAAGGAGGGGATATGCTTAAGTCTCCCCCCTCCAGCCCTCTGCTTGTCCCAGTCCACTCTCTGGATCTTGGTCAGTGTCTCGGGGGTGGGTAGACTTCATGGAGAGGGGCACAGAAGGGTGGCAGGAATGGAGAGGAGTGAGGGTGACCAGCAGAGGAGAGGAGCAGGAAGCTCTGCCTGGGCCATCTCCCTTCTTCCTAGCTGCCCTTGCCCAGATTAGGTGCCAGAAAGACAGAAGTGGGCACCGTCCCCTCTGGTCAGATACCCAGGTCTTTGGTATTAAAGAACCATTGTGGCAATGATGGCCCTTATGGAGCACTGACTCTGTGCCTGGGGCTGTGCATGTGAGAAGGGACTCCTAAAGCAATAAGCCACGGTCCCTCCCCCAAAGAAGGCATAGCGCCGGGAGGCAGACAAGTAAGTAGTGGCGTGTGAGCACTGGGGCTGTGGTAACAGTGGGGCCTTGGGTGGGTGGGTGGGTTTCCTGGCTGGAGTTGAAGGAACAGCAGAAAGAACAGGGAATCCTGTCCTGTCAGATGCAAGTGCACACAGGGCCAAGGCTGGGACTGGTGAGAGATGTGGCTGGAGAGGAACCAGCAGCCAGAGTCTCATAAACTATGCTTCGATAGGGTGACAATGACACTGTTTAAGGAGGAGAAGGACATGGTTAGATTTGTTTTGTACCATTCTGATGGCAAGAGTAGAAGACAGACAGGAGAGGAGAATGTGGAGTCAGGAGACCAGTCAGGAAATTACTATGATGATCCAAGAAAGAAATATCAAAGGTCACAGGGCTGCCTGGCATGGCAGGGCTCTGTGGAGCATTTATATCAATGCAGTCTATGTAAATGGCACCCCTTAGGATGGGGCAACATGGAAGCTCCAACTCCAAAAAGTCACTTTGTGGTGAGGATGGAGAGGGGAGTGAGATTTGAGAGATATTCATTCTCATTCATTCGTTCATTCATTCTAATGGGTGCAGAATATCTGCTGTGTGTCAGGCACTATTTTGGTGCTTGGGACACCATGGTGATAAGAACAGAAATTGTGTCCCTGTATCTTGCTCTTGGTGCTGCCGGGGTTAGTGATTCCTCTGACTGTCCATAGACCTCTCTCTTCTACTAGCCTGGGAGCTCCAAGTGCACAGAGTCTGTGTCTCATTCATGTCTGAATTCTTAGACCCCAGGCAGGGGCTCAGAAAACACAGATGAGAGAAGAAACCTCAGGGTGTTCTGCATCTAAGAGGGGGGCCTCTGCTAAGCTTGACTTGCCCTCTGTCCCCCAACCCAGTCTCTGAGGGTGAAGGATCTGTTCTTGCTGGACACAGATAAGATTCTCTGCTGGGCTGGCTTGGAAGCCTGGAGGCTTGGGCAGGGTTGGAACCAGGGTGGCTGGAACCTGTCAGCAATCCAGTGAGGAACACATGGAGCACGGTCTGACTCCAGTGGCCATTCTGAGTAGCTGGCAAAGCCCTCCTCTCCACTCTGGGGTGCCCCCACCCCTCCTTCCAGGTAGAGTTGGGAAGGGGAGGGAGAGACGAGGGAAGAGGTGGCAGCCCTGAGTAATGCATCCTGGCCATAAATGGTGCTTTGTTTAACCGGAACTACCTAGAGACTGTGTAACTATAGCAACCACAAGTCGATATTTTAAAAGTTAAAAATAAGTTATGACATCTTACATGTTGTTGGAGATGCTGACAGCGAAACCGCTTTTTTAAAGCTTCATTACTCTACAAATTGAGTGGAGTAGGTTTTGGGGGCTCCACTTTCAACAAGTTACCCCCAGGTTAGCCCAGGTGCCTGGGGCCAGACACCTGGCCCCAATCCCTGTAGTAGACAGCCAGGGATTTGATGAAAGTTATCTGAAAATGGTGCCATGGGGAGGAAACTGGAATGCACCCCCAAAGGAGAACCCCCTTCTCAGACCTTCCAGGGGACTGCTCCAGGCAGATTCGCTTGGATGCACTGTGTGATGGGACCTCACGACTTGACAGGGGCAGCTCATTCCCCTGTGGGGTGGCTCTACCTGATGGAGAACTGACAGTCTGATCAAATGGAACATGAGGTAGACGAAGAGTCCAATTCTGGGGTCACCAAACTCAGCTCTGTACTTCCCAGCTATGTGACTGTGGATGAGCCACTTAGCCTCTCTGAGCCTTAATGTCCTCTCCTTAAAACCTGCCCATTCTGAAGAGAGAAGAGGATGGGAAAACACTTTTCAGTCACTATATACTATCTAGGAGCCACCCTATGTCTCTGGGTTTCTACAGAGCCCAGCACAACACTTGGCCAGGCCAGGCAAGGGCCAGGCCAAGGGCTGTGTGAGAAAATCAACTGACCTTGGCCTCCTGCTAGGGAGGCTTTCCCTTCACTGGTCACCCCAGCCCTCCCTCTGGTGCCCTCCAGGGATGAGTGTCCTGCCACCCTGGAGGCCCAGTTCTGGGCTTAAGTCTTCCCAGGTGAGGGTGAGCCTGTCCCCGTACCCCTAGGGCAGTGACTACTCACTGGGAAGGATGGTTTTGTAGCGGTTCTTCCGCACCAGCCCAGGGATGTCGTACTCTTTTGGATCCACAAAGTTCATGGGGATTTCCTGCAGGAGAAGGACATGGGGGTGTGAGCAGCTGTGGGCTGGCTCTTGAAGATGTTCTAACCAGGTGCTGCTTGCCCTCGAGTTTTGTCGGGCTACCTTAAGTGCACTACTCATTCATTCAAGAAACATTTACTGTTAAATGAGTTAGTACACGTAGGGCATTTAGGATAGTGACTGGCACACGCCAAGAGCATGACACATGTTATAACTATTGTTTATTGAGGGCCACCCTGGCACATGGCAGACGCTCGGCAAGTGATGAATAAATGAAGAACAAGACAGAAGTGACAAGGCCCATCGCCACATTCTTCCATGTTCTCTGTGCAACAGCGAAACCAGGTAGCTTCACTGAATTATGTGCCCACACTAGGCGTCCCTACCTTGGTGGTGCTGCTTTCCTGCCACACCTGCCCCACCCTCATCTCCGCATGCATCTATCTGAAAGGCCAAGGCCTCTGAGAAGCCTCCTGAGTCTGCAGCAAAAGGGGTCTTCTGCTGAGCCCCCAGGACTTTGTGTGCCCCTCCACATGTCCTGTGTCCAGAGCTCCACGTCTGCCCTCTGCTCCTGGCATGCAAAGTCTCCCTGTATCTGGCCCCTCTTGACCTCCAGTTGTGCCGGTGTCTTTGTGGCTATGATCATGCCATTCACAGTCCTGCCTCCAGGCTGAGCTTGTGGCATTCCACTCGCCGGGAGCACTGGTCTCACTCTCCATCTCTCCAAAACATTCCAATACCTAAAGGTTCACCCCAGCTCCACCTCCCTAAGATGTCCTCTGGGACGTTTCTCCAGTGCCTCTTGCCCCTTCGCTCCCTTCTGATCTGTCCACATGGTTTACCACCTGAACGCAGTGTCCCATTGTTTGTTGTTTCTGGACACATTATATGGGCTGTTGTAAAATGCAGATCATGATGCCTTCCAGGGTTGTGAGAATCCAAAGGAAACAAAAACACACATGTGCAAAACTACCCATGGAGAGGGTGCTCAGGCCATGTTCCTCGCTCTCTGGCAAAAATCTACAATACTCAGGCTGGGGATATGGCTCAGTTGGTAGAGTGTTTGCCTTGCATGCACAAGGCCCTGGGTTCAATCTCTAGCAAAAGCCCCCCCCCAACCCCCCCCAAACCAAAACCAAAACCAAAAACAAAACCCAACAAACAAACAACAACAACAAAAACCTATAATACTCTATTTAACAGAAAAGGACATGGCGGATGGAAGCTATTTCTTCAAGGGGAGAAGGTGGTGGTGGGAGCCTGGAGTGGGAGCTGAGGCTGGCTGTGAAGAACGCCTTTCCAGAGGCATCAGGTGGGGAAAGATGTGAGGAGGAAATAGGGAGGGGGACGCAGGCACAGGGCAGCTGGCCCAACTGTAAGTGCACAGTCCCTGCAGGGGTGGGATGGGGCTGGAGCACAGGCTGGGAAAGGAGGTGAGGATAGATCAAGCAGGCGGACCCATTTCTTCTGCAGGGTGTCAAGTTCTGGAGAACCTGGAGCAGTGGGTTTGAGGGTGCTGGTGGGTGAGTCATCTGATTGATGAAGTTGATTGAGGAAGTGGGCTTCTGAGCCTCAGCCCCTTTCTTCTTCCTCCTCTTGGAGGCCTCCTGCCAAGAAAGAATGATGGAGGCACCCCATGGGGCAAGGTCCACCATGGGCCAGCACTACCTCAGTGGTGGGAAGTTTGTGTGATTCTGGGGCTTGGTATCAGGAAGCTTACTCTTGGTGTACCTTGTGCAGCCTCATTTCAAACCTACCCTTTCTGCCGTAAAGGTGTCACTGTGACCTGCCATGTTTTAGGTCTTTACTGGCTGTGTGCTCAGGCAGGTGAACAGGGCTGTCAATGATTGGACCCCTCAAAGTCCAACAGCCAGAGGCTGTTGCAGAGGCTGCAGGAGGAGATTAGGATCTAAGCTAGAGCCTTAGGGGTGGCAAGGAGGGGAGGGGACTGGAGAGATGTCAAGACAATGTACAATGCTTAGGGATGTCAGGCAGGAGGAGGGGGGGAAGACAGGAGGATAGGAAGTTCAGCTTTGTGTGGCTTTCAGAGCAGAGTCCCGGCAAAGACCCAGGAACATCACAGCATGCCAATCACCCAGCTGGCTACTTTGCACATAGTAATTAATCTCCATAATCCTATCATCTCATCCCATTTTCCAGATGAGGACACAGAGGCTCAGAGAAAAATCAGTTTGCCCAAGGTGGCAGGAGAGCTGAGAATGAGGTGGTGCTCATTACTCCAGATGCCAAGTCTAGGTACTACCCACAACCTGGCTGGCTGGATGAGTGATATGAGTGGAGAGTCCGCCTACAGAGGGTGGCAGGCACAAGGGGACTCACAAAGAATTCGGCCTGTAGCAGGAAAGGGTCCAGGGCCTTTTCATGGAGCTCCTCTGCTCGGAGGACGCGGGAGGCACTGAGCAGGTACTCGTGGGCTGACTCCTCACGTGGGGACACGAGATAGCCGAAGCCTTCCTCATTGCAGCCCGGGGTGCACATGTCCAAGGTCAGGGAGACATTGGAGCCCCTCCTGGCAGGATGGAGAAGGAGGAAATGAATCTTGGGAAGGGACAGGCTTTAGCTGGGATCCTTGGGCCTCAGAGGGGAGGGTGGGGAGGGGTTATGGGGGACAGGGAGGGATATGGGAAAAGGAGTGGGAGTGTGGCAAGACCCTGTCACAGGAGCGTGAGACTCAGTCCTGAGGTGAAATCCTGAACCCCTCTCTCCTGCCTCCTGCAGCAGAGCAACTGGGTGGGTGTTTGGGGCCTCAGATTCCATCCAAAGCAACCCAACACGGCCCTCCTCTGGGCTCACCTCTGTCCCAGATGGAGGCAGTTTCACCCTATGGCTCCTAAGCAGCCCCCAGAGTGGTCCCTGCCTAGGTCAGAGGAGCAGGGCTCGAGCCTAAGATGGCTCCAAACCTCTGCAACACAGCTCTGGGCCCAATCCTGACCGAGGCTGCCGGTGGGTCAAGAACACATCCTCCAGGAGAGGTCAGGACCCTCAGGAAAGGAGGGAGTCCCAGGGGCAGCTTAGTGGCAGCAAGGACAAACTTCATGTGTCCAGTAAACCACAAAACAGAAAGGACCCCCTCTACATAGAGATGGAAAGTGAGTCCTTATGAGGGGACCAGAGACGCCGAGGCTCTCATTGTGGCAGAGATGAAACAAAAAGCTGGGTTTCCTGCCTCTTCAGCCAGTGCTCTTTCTCTGACATCGTGGGGGTAACTCAGTGGTGAGACCTGGCTTGTGCCGTTAGGGTCTGAGAAGAGGATTTCACACCTCCAAAGTGCTCTGCAGAATACTGAGACACTTTAGAAAAGGGTTCTGTGGCCAGGTGACTTTGGGAAATGCCACATACTGTCTCCTTGCTGATTTACAATGAACACAGGCACACTAAAGGCCCTGACGAGTCCTGCAGTAAGGAAAGCTACCGGAACTTCCTTGAGCAAAGGAGAGTATACACATGTGCACACCGGCAGATGCCTAGGTGTGCTTGTGTAATAGCACTATTTTTTTTTTTTTTAACACCTGAAGATCATGTATCTGCACTGGCTGGGCTATGAGAGCAGCTCTCTCCTGGGCTGTCAGAGTCGACATCTACCTTTTGGGATGGGAGCTGAAAGCATGAGGGCCCGTCAAGCCCACCCCTCCTCCACCCCTCCCACCTCTCCTGCAGACCCATGGACTTGACGGTCAGTGAGGCTGGGTCAGCCTCAGGCTTGATGTCCATCACGCAGTCAAACACAGGAGTCTCGGGCACTGGATCCAGGTCCAGGAAGTCATCCTCGACTTTCTCCTCCATCCACTCTGAGTAGGTAAAGGAGGGCTGGCGGCTCACAGATTGGCGCCTGTCCTCTGGGGGCACCGGGGTGGGCGGCTCTGGGGGAGCCTTTAGGAGGTGCCACACCTGGTTGAGAATATAGGGCTTAATGGACCTAGAACCATGCCAGCTGTGATGTCCTGGGGTGACCACAGGATTGGGCCCTCTGTCCCTCCATGTATCTAGAGCAGCCATGCTCTCCTGGGAGCTGTCTATGAGGAACTCTGATCTCCTAGGAGGGAGGTTCCTCCATCTACTCTCCCTCCCTGTCCTCTGGGGTTCTGGGAGCCTCCCTGCCTCAGCCCCTTTCCCCAGCCCAGATGGCTGCAAGCCAATTTCTAGGAAGAAGGCATCTCTTGCCCCAAGCCAGGCATCCTGGCCAAGGGAGACAGATACATGTCCTTGTCCTACCCAGCACCCAGGATGTCTAGTCTGCAGATCAGATGGGAGCTGGTGAGAAGCAGGACCTCAGGGCCAGAGGAGGAAAGCACTGAGGCTGGGGCAGGGGGCACCTTACCAGGGTGGTGATGAGGATCAGGCCCACAGACAGGGAGACCAGCAGCAGACTGGGGACTCCCGAGGTCCCTGCGCCCAGCCAAGCCTGGGAAACATTAAACCAACAGGTCAGGGTGGTGGTGGGGGCAGAGTTCTTGTCTATTCCAAGGGTGACAAAGCTGAGGCTCTAAAAAGCATCTCTGGGGTCTGAGGTGGGGAGCAGGCAGAACTTCAGGGGCTTGGAAATCTCTCCTGAACTCAGAGAAGCCCCATTCAGGAGCTGGGGAGGGTGGACGGGAGGCCCCTAACACATCTCCCCACCCCAAGGTTCCCCAGAGCTTACTCACCGCGGGTCCCAGCTGTTTCAGGATTGTGAGCGAGGAGAGGATGAGATCTGTGGCATTCTGCAACCAGATGTGGCCGTAGCCGCTGAACCAGAGCACCCCACAGGCAAGCTGGGGCAGTCGGGGGATCAGGCTGAGTTCAGAGCCCGGGCTCCTTGCCCCCACATTCTCAGCCTCACCCTCAATCTGGATCCCCAAGGAGGTTCCTGAACCTTTCAGGTCCAGGTGAGGTAGCTGAGGGAAGGGCCCAAGTGCTGTGTACCCAGAGGAGAGATTTCAGGACTCTCCTTGGAGAAAAGCAGACTAAAAGCAGTCAAAACCAAGGGACGACCCCACAGGTACATACATAAAAAGGGAAGCCTCCCAGAAAGGCCTCCACAGACAGAAAGGAAGTCCTCAGGATCAGGGGGTCAAGGGTCTGGGGGGGGGTGCCCTGCAGTCCTGATCCTTGAGTGAGGGAAGACAGGTTGTGAGGGGCTTATCTCCTGAAGCTGCAGCAGAATTCCTGCCCTCCCCTCACATGATCTTCAGGACTTGAAGTTACCCAGGGCCCCTCTTCTTGGTCTCCCCAGGTAGCTATCTTGGGGAGGAAGTGGAAGGCTCTCCCTCAACCCACCCGCTCTCCAGGTCCTCATGAGGCCTGTGACATCCTTACCAGGAACTGTGAGGCAGCGAACAGGCACAGGCTGCTCCTGACAGTGAGGGAGTGGCTCCCGGTGCCTTGAGGTGGTGGTTTCTGAGCTGGCTCTGAGGGTGGTGGGGGTGGTGGCATCTCTCTCTGCACATTGGGGAGCCCTTTGGCCTCATCCAGTGCCTCCATCACTACCGGCTGGGGGAGACCTGTGCAAGGTGGGACACGCAGGCCAGTTACACCAGGCCCTGCCCGTGCACAGGGTTCTGCTGACCCACGGTGGACAGTTCCTTCTGGAGTTGCTGTGGCTTCCTCCCAATCCGGGATCAGTCAGCGTGGCTCCTCTTCCAGCAGTCACCCTCGATTAGCAAAGCAATATTCACCTACCTTCGTCAGAAAGAGCTAAGTGTGGGTGGACAAATTATTTCTCTTTTATTTCTCCAGTAACAGAGTTAAAATGGCAGGAGGTTTTTCAGAGTTAATATCGTTGTATTTACGCAGCTTCATTCTTTTCCATTTCTTAAGGAAACAAAAAAAACAACCACCTCAAACTCTATTAAAAAAGAAAGAAAGAAAGAGAAAGAAAGAAAAAAAAAAGACACAGCATAACCAGGCCGTGACCCTGAACAACCCACCTACGCCTGCTCTCTGGAGTTTTGTTTTTCGTGGTCTGTGTCCTGACTGGGGCTGAAAGCTGGACTGTTAAGATCACAGCCACATGCCTCCCCCACCTTGGGACCCCCACGCTGAGAGGGGGTGGGCAATCTGGGGGATGTGGAAGAAAATCTTGGTGTAGTAAGATCGATACCACATGTTGGGGTCGAGCTCAGGGTCTGTCCGTGGTTGGCGTGGCCTCAGGAGAGTCACTTCCTTTTCGAATCTCAGTTTCCCCACCTGAAAAGTGGGGGATGGGCTCAAACCCCTGTTTTTCTAATTGTGCTTTTCGGAGCTCCAGGGTTTCTTGGGTGCAGCAGGGGCTGTTACCAAGTGCCTGGAGTTCCTATGCCTGTGTCTCAGCATGGAAGCTATTCCTGTTCCCATTCCATATGCTGGGCTTCTGGTACGATGATTTCAACAGTTCTACTAATGCATCTGACCACCACTGGCTACTCCAGTGCTATCCATCCTAGTGAGTCCACATGTTAGTCCCCACCCAAACTCATGTCTCAGTTTATCACCCAGAAGGGCAAGAGCAACAAAACGGATGTGTTTATTAGCTGGGATGGAGCTGCCCACACATCACTGTGCAGATGGGACAATGGACTTCTTTTCTGGTTGGGGGACAACAGAACCAGAGGAGACCAACACAGCTGTTTGTGCATATGCCTGCTCACTCATGCCACAAACACTTCCGGAGCCTCTCACAGCCCAGATCAACAGTGGAATACACAGCCCTGATCCTAGATTATACCCGTGTGAACATAATAGGTTCCCCCTTTCCAGCTGGTTCCTCTTCTTTTTAAAAAGTTTGTTTTAACTAGTTATACATGACAGTCGGATGCACTTTGACACATCATATATAATGCAGTATAATATCTCATTCTTCTGGTTGTACGTGATGTAGAATCACACTGGTCATACAATTATATATGTACATAGGGTAATAATGTCTGATTCATTCTACTATCCTTCCTACCCCATACTTCCTCCCTTCACTCCCCTCTACCTAATCTAAAGTAACTCCATTCTTCCCTAACCTTGCCCCCATTGTGAATTAGCATCTGCATATAAAACATTCAGCTTTTGTTTTTTTGGGATTGGCTTATTTCACTTAGCATGATATTCTCCAGCTGTCGAAGGGCAACTAGGTTGGTTCCATAGTTTGGCTATTGTGAATTGAGATGCTATAAACATTGATGTGGCTGCATCACTGTAGTATGCTGATTAAAAGTCCTTTGGGTATAAACTGAGGAGTGAGATAGCTGGGTCAAGTGGTGGTTCCATTCCAAGTTCTCTAAGGAAATGTCCATACCAATTTTCATAATGATTGCTCTAATTTGCATTCCCTCCAGCAATGTATTAATGTACCTTTTCCTCCACATCATTGCCAAAATTCATTGTTGTTTGTATTCTTGATAATTGCCATTCTGATTGATTGTATTTCTTCTTCTGTGAAGTATCTGTTCAGTTCCTTAGCCCATTTATTGACTGGATTATTTATTGTTTTTGGTGTTAAGTTTTTTGAGTTCTTTATATTTCCTGGAGATTAATGCTCTATCTGAGGTGTGTGTGGTAAAGATGTTCTCCTATTCTTTATGCTCTCCCTTTCACATTATTTATTGTTTCTTTTATGGAGAAGTTTTTTAGTTTAAAATCTGTCCAATTTATTGATCCTTGATCTTCTTCTTGCACTTTAGGAATCTCATTAAGGAAGTCAGATCCTACGCTCACATGGTGACGATTTGGGCCTACTTTTTCTTCTGTTAGGTGCAGGATCTCTGGTCTAGTGCCTAAGTCTTTGGTCCACTTTGAGTTGAGTTTCATATAGGGTGAGAGATAGGGGTTTAATTTCATTTTGTTACATGGATTTCCAATTTTCCCAGTACCATTTATTGAATAGCCTATCTTTTTCTCCAGTGAATGTTTTTGGAAACTTTTTCTAGTGTGAGATAACTGTATTTATGCGGGTTTGTCTCTGTGTCTTCTATTTTGTACTATTGGTCTATGTGTCTGTATTGGTGCCAATATGACGCTGATTTTGTTACTATGGCTCTTTAGTATAGTTTAAGGTCTGGTATTGTGATACCTCCTCCTTTATTCTTATTGCTAAAGATTGCTTTGGCTATTCTGGGTTTTTTATTTTTCCAAATGAATTTTATGATTGCTTTTTCTAGTTCTATGAAGAATGTTATTGGGATTTTAATTAGAATTGCATTACATCTGTATAATGCTTTTGGTAGTATAGCCATTTTGACAATATTAATCCTGCTTATGGGAGATCTTTCCATCTTCTAAGGTCTTCTTCAATTTCTTTCTTTAGTGTTTTGTAATTTTCATTGTAGAAGCCTTTTACCTCTTTTGTTAGATTGAGTCCCAGGGGTTTTATTTTTTTTAAAGCTATTGCAAATGGGGTAGTTTTTCTAATTTCTCTTTCAGTAGATTATCACTGATGTATAGAAACACGTTTATGGGTGTTGATTTTATAACCTGCTTCTTTGCTGAACTCATTTAGGAGTTTTGAAAGTTTTCTGGTGGAATATTTTGGCTCTTTGAAATATAGAATCATGTCATCAGAAAATAGTGATAGTTTAAGTTCTTCTTTTCCTATTTGTATCCTTTAATTTCTTTCTCCTGTTTAATTCCTCTGGCTAGAGTTTCAAGGACAATGTTGAGTAGTAGCAGTAAAAGAGGGCATCTTTGTCTTGTTCCAGTTTTTAGAAGGAATTCTTTCAATTTTTCTCCTTTTATAATGATGTTGGCCTTGGGTTTGGCATATATAGCTTTTATGAAGTTGAGGTATGTCCCTACTATCCCTAATTTTTTCAGTATTTTGTACATGAGGAGGTGCTTTATTTTGTCAAATGCTTTTTCTGAATCTACTGAGAAGATCATATATTCTTATTTTAAGTCTATTGATGTGATGAATTACACTTATTGATTTCTATATGTTGAACCAACCTTGCATTCCTGGGATGAACCATACTTGATCGTGGTGCACTATCTTTTAAATATGGCTTTGTATGCAGTTTGCCAGAATTTTGAGAATTTTTGCATCTATGTTCATCAGGGATATTTTTCTTAAGTTTTCTTTCTTTGATGTGTCATTGTCTGGTTTTGGTATCAGGGTGAGATTAGCCTCATAGAATGAGTTTGGAAGGAATCCCTCCTTTTCTATTTCATGGAATACTTTGAGAAGTATTGGTGTTAATTATTCTTTGAAGGTCTTATAGAACTTGGCTGAGAATCCATCTGGTCCTGGGCTTTTCTTTATTGGAAGGCTTTTGATGGTGTTTTATATTTCATTACTTGTAATTGAGCTGTTTAAATTGTGTGTATCTTCCTGATTCAGCTGGGTAGGTCATCTCTAGAAATCTGTAGATGTCTTCAAGGTTTTCTATTTTATTGGAGTATAAATTTTCAAAATAGTTTCTAATTATCTTCTTATTTCAGTCATGTCCATTGTGATATTTCCTTTTTAAATCACATTTTTTCAGTAATTTTGATTTTCTCTCTTTTTCTCTTTGTTAGCATGGCTAGGGGTTTATTTTATTTATTTTTCCAAATAACTAATTTTGTATTGTCAAGTTTTTCAGTTTCATTGATTTTAACTGTGATTTTAATTATTTCCTGTCTTCTATTGTTTATGGTGTTGATTTATACTTCTTTTTCTAGGGCTTTGAGTTGTAATGTTAGGTCATTTATTTGTTGACTTTTTATTCTTTCAATGAATGAGCTCAATGCAATGAACTTTCCTCTTAGCCCTGCCTTTAAGATGTCCCAAAGATTTTGATATGTTGTACACTATTCTTATTTACCTCTAAGTATTTTTAAATTTCATCTCTGATTTCTTCATTTTCCACTCATCATTCAATAGTGTATTATTTAGTCTCCAGGTGTTAGAGAGTAGCTTTTATTTTTTATTCTATCATTGATTTCTAATTTTATTTCATTATGATCTGATAGGATGCAGTGTATTATCTCTATTTTTTTTGTATTTGCTAAGAGTTGCTTTATGGCATAAGATGTGGTCTATTTTAGAGAAGGATCCATGTGCTGCTGAGAAGAAAGTATATTTGCTCATTGATGGATCAAATATTCTATATATGTTAAGTATAAATTATTGATTATATTATTTAGATCTAGAGTTTCTTTGTTTAGCTTTTGTTTGGAAGATCCATCCAGTAGTGAAAGAGGTGTGTTAAAGTCACTCAGTATTATTGTGCTGTGATCTTTTTAATTCTTGAAGTTGGGAAGGGTTTGTTTGATGTACATAGATGCTTCATTATTTGGGGCATAAATATTTATGATTGTTATGTCTTACTGATGTATAATTCCCCTAAAGAAGTATGAAATATCCTTCTTTGTCCCTTCTGATTAACTTGGGCTTAAAGTCTACTCTATCTGATATGAGGATAAAACTCCTGCTTGTTTACATGATCCACCCAATCTATATGTTTTTTCCCATTCTTTCACCCTCAGTCTATGGATGTCTTTGTTTATGAGGTGAGTCTCTTGGAGACAGCATATTGTTGGGTCTTATTTTTTAAAC